CTATAGAGGAGGGAATGGGAATGTCCCTACTATAGAGGAGGGAATGGGAATGTCCCTACTATAGAGGAGGGAATGGGAATGTCCATACTATAGAGAAAGGAATGTCCAGGGAGAGCTAGAGTAGAAGCAGTGTCCATGGACAGCTCTAAAGGAAGGAAGGACTGCCCAGGGACTGTTACTCTTCTAGAGGAAGGATGCCCAGGGACAGCTATGGAAGGACTGCTCAAGGTCTACTGCAGGGGCTGGAACGCTCCAAACTGTAATGGGACAGAAAGAACAAATTATAGGCTATCATTCCTAGCTTCTGTTATAACTTAAACACCGTTGCTTGTACGAAACAAAAATTAAATGACAAAGAATTGCAGTTCTTTTCTATGGAACGTCAGACCAGGAAAACCAAGGCAGCAGAAGAACAAAAGATTCAGACAGAACAGCAATATGTTCATTTGCACTTCTTGTATTTTGTCATAAATGTAAAATTGAACTTTTGTTTTATTCATTTTTTGGGCTTGATTGGAAGAGATGACATATGAAACTTGGGTCACTTTGTTACAGAAAATAAGAAAACTAACATTTTAGGTCTTTTGGACTGTCAGGAAAATCTGCTTTCTTCAGGAGTGCTACAGAGGCACAAATAGAGAAGGCTTCCATATAGTGCTGCTCTCTGTGTGAATGAAAACATTTTTTGACCTGCATCTGTTTCTGGCAGGAGCTGTTTCTGATTGAGAGAACGATCCAAGTGCTATTTGTTCCAGTCTGTCTAGGAATTGACATAGTATCACCTAGACAGTTTAGGTAGGAGCTATGCCAGAAGCTGTCCTGGATGCTATCATTTGTCATTCTGTTCAGGTCCAGGTTTGCAATCCATAAAACATCTCCTGCTCTCTGTGCTGGTCTTCAGCTGTTTACCTCGAAAATGTTTTGATAATGAAAGGATAGCTAAGAAAAAAGCAAGATACCTGGCGTCAGTTTTTGGACTAGACTTAAAGTTTGAAATCCAAGCAACTTGTGTCATTGGGCTTTTGTTGAACATAATAATCTGTTATCTGAAAAGTTATTTTCTCCTTCTAAGGGTTATGCAGGATGAAAGGTAGGACTGCATGCTGAACAGGATGCCAGTCCATCACACAGGCGCACAGGGGCAATTTAGAGACATTAGTTATCTAAGCCAGTGTGTCTTTGTAAGGCGGAAGGAGCAATCTGTGTAAACTCACACACACACTGCAAAAAGCAGCAAATGCCACACAGAAAGCACCACAGGCCAGTACCTAACCGAGATCCCAAGAATTGTGAGGGAGCTGAGATCAAAAGAATCCGTGGTAGAACTTAAGCTCCAAAAGCAAAGGAGAATATTGCCTGATAATTGTGATCTCCTGCTGGATATCCCTTCATAGGTCAACACAATAGTTTTGCTTTTTGTATCTGTATGGAATGCCAGATGAGAAAGAAGAAACTCATTCGGGAATGTAACCAATTTGAAAAAAAACTGCCTTTAGACTTCTGGGTCTCTGTTGACTGCACAACTTTAACTTATTGGCAAACAAGCTGTGTACTAAAAGTGTCTCTGTTTGACTTTTGATGAGCATGTATGAAAGCTGGGAATAAAGGATGTGATTTTTATAAGGTAGTGGTAAGACAGGTGATAGTGTGAATGATCCACTTCTGCAAACATCTTTGCAGAGACCCGTCTAAAAAAAAAGAAGCTGTGTCATTGGTTTTAAAGTGATCATTTCAGGCGACTAGCACTTGGTCATTTTGTGGAAGATAATCTCCCTCTGTTCTCCATTCTAGGGAATGGCGTGGTCTTGGTTAGTAGCTAGCCTTGTTTTAAAGTCTTATAATAAAGAACAGTGAGCTCATGCCTTGGACAGCCCTGCAGTGCCTTGCAGGCTGCTGGAGAGCTGGAATCTGCAGTCTTGGTGGTTTCCTTGACTGGGCCCACGCAGCTCACATCTTTTCCAATTTCCTTCGGCAGGAAGTCTTGTCGGTCGGTGTGAGCGTATAATGTCCGGGCACAGCCGAGGCTGATGGAACACTTCGCTCCTTCAGCAGGACCGAGGGTATGGCAGCCAGCTGCCTTCCCACCCTGAGCACGCCTGCACTTTTCTGCGTAGAAATCGCAGGCACATTTTCTCTTCGCTGGGCCGACACCTCCCCAGGCTCTCCCACTCGAGTCGGTGCTATGTCGAAGCAGGGTTACCCAATGGTCGAGCCCCTGGTGAAAAGGCAATAATATGGCCCAGTCCTGATTCAGAGCAAAGCTCCTTAAATCCACAGCCAGGTCATCAGCCTGCTTTGCATGAATGCGATCTGGCTGTTAGTCTGTTTGCACAGATGTCAAACTTTAAGATGTTATCAGCAACCAGAATCCGTAACAGACGTTGTTTGAAAAAAGGTCTTTCCCAATGTAATAATTGCACAAAATTCTGTGGTATGGAAATACATCTCGTATTATTAACCATTTCTCATCTTTGCTTACAGACCCCAGGGATTAAGATGAGGGTCAAAAATGGATTAGTTGTTTGTATAAAAAGTTGTTATCTTACAGTCGCTGATCTAAAATTCTTCATTAACCTCCAGAACTTTGCCCATTGAGATATGACCATTGTAAAAAAGTACTGCTTGGCTTGTGTCTGAAAAAGGATCCCATTGTAGTTTTTCTGAGTCTTCTTGCATGCTTCAAAGTACAGAAGAAACGTGTTTGTGTTTAGCAAGGTGTATAAACTGTATTTAAGGAATTATTTTGTTCTGCCAGAATAAAATCAGTAAAATAGGATGTCACTGAAGGAGAATCTGTGAAAGTCTTCCATAAAACTTTCATATACTGTATGTTCTGTGCTTCAGACACAACTTTCTGCCCAATTTCCACTGTTAGGAGGCAACGTGCTGTGCTCTAAATATGGCACAAAAAGTTATGTGCCATTTTTAACAAGGACGTGTTTGTGTGTAGTAAAAAAAGGAAATGCCTGGAGAGTTGAAGACCAGATACAGTATGTGTTCCTGACTGGGACCATCCAGTTCATGGATCTCATGGATCTGTCCCGTTCACACATTGTGTATCTGTGCTACTGTTGAAGCACAGGGATCATGAAATCCTCAGGGCACGTATACACTGCAGCAAGAGTTTGTTGTATCGTCAGACATTACGTATTACTGTTTCAATCCTCTTTTATTCCAAGATAAATGCACGTCGGATATTCAGCCTTAAATAATATGTATGTTTTTCTTGTGCGGAACATAAGCAAATTCACCTGCCAGGGAAGGGCAAAAGCCCCCCTGTGCCGTGGTGAAAGCCCCCCTGTGCCCGGTGTCTCCCCTCTCCAGACGTGAACGAGTGCGAGCTGCTGAGCGGGGTGTGTGGAGAGGCGCTGTGTGAGAACGTGGACGGCTCCTTCCTGTGCGTGTGCCCCCACCAGAACGAGGAGTTCGACCAGATGACGGGGCAGTGCCTCTCCACGCCTGCAGGTGAGCGGCGCAGCCGCCTCGCTCCCTGTCCTCCCCTCCCGTGTTTGTCGTTTGTTGCCGCAGTGGTGTCGAGCTCTCTCGGAGACGTGGGTCCGCGCTGTGATTCAGTTCATCTCTCCTTGTGTGTTTGGACAGCCACCGTCCCAGGGGTTGGCAGGAAGGAATGCTACTACAATCTGAAGAACGAGAACCTGTGCGAACACGTCCTGAACCCCAGCATCACCAGGGAGGAGTGCTGCTGCACCATGGGGGAAGGCTGGGGGGACAACTGCGAGTTCTTCCCCTGCCCTGACGCAGGCACAGGTGCTGCCACCCTGCTGT